AATCCATTGCAAACCCTCTCCTGGATCCCGTGCGTTGACGATGCAGTAGACTTAGCCCTGCACTTCATCCTACAGCATCTCAACAGTCCTGGAACCTGTGCTGGAGTTCTGTTTGTATACTTCAGCTTGGCATTTGACACAGCAGTGCAAGAGCTGCTCAGGTCAAATGGTCCCAGCTGTCTGTGCCAGAACTCAGGTTTGGTTCCTCCACCTCACAAGAACGAGCTAAACTTCAGCACAAAATTGGCACAGTGGAGAGGATTGTCGGATGTAGTCTGCCAATGCTTCAGGACGTCTACAACAGCAGGATGGCGAAGTACGCTGGTAAAATTACAGCTGACGCCTCTCACCCTTTACATCACCTCTTCCAGATTCAGGGCCATCAAATCCAGATTTTTTTCCCCCAGAGCTGTAGCGCTCATCAACCACTGTGGACATGTCGCACTTGAAAGTAAAACTAAACCTAACAAATCTCCCTTATTGTGTTGCAGTAACTACTGTTAGACTCTGTAATGTCCTCTGTAAGATAATGCTTATTTGCACATATGTACATGTTTTTATTTGTTTGTCTGGACAGCTTATGAGTTTGTTTTTGGATTATCCACTACTGGCCAAGGAGTTTGAATTGTCACTGACTGAGAACCCAGTCAAGAAAGTGAAAAACTTTTCCCTTTGTGGCTACAGAGGTTACTCTCGACCATGCTGTGCCAGTAGCTAGACTGGGTTTGGTGTCTGAAAGGTGCTCAAGAACTCATTGAAAAGCATGGACTGAGAAAAGCCCCGAGCATTCAATTCACTTCAGTAATGAAGGGCTGCTTAAACCCAGTACACCACCAGTCAGGGCCTCAAAACTAGAAGAGCAAAAGGGAAACACAAGCTACTTATCAAACTCACTTCCCCAACAGAGGAGACACAGGAAATCAAGAAAAAAAAAGAAATTTAAACCTGACAAACGGGGCTGAACAGAGAACTCAGCACTGCCTCTGGCTCATTCTCTTCTTTTTTCCCTTTTTTAGTTAGTTAGTTTATGTGTTTGTTTGGTTTCTTATATTTCTATACTTAGAGAAGGCCTAGAGAAGACAAGACAAAGCTCTGGGGCAGCTCGAGAGGGGTTATTAGTATTACTGTAGTCTGTACAGTACTATTACTAGTCTAGAGACACAGCCACATGACAGGTCAACTCTAGACTGAGCACAGAAGCCCAGAAGAGCTTTCCTCAAATAAGAGGAGGAACAGGTGTTGCTGATTGCTCCTAATTACAGTGGCTCTCTCTGATGGCTGGAGATGGCTTAGCAGGGTGGGCCTTTACAGAGCTGGCGTGTGTGTGTGTGTGTGTGTGTGCGTTCTTGTTTGTTTATTGTTGACACTGTAAAGTGACCTTGAGTTTGAGAAAAGGCTATATAAATTGAATATATTGTAGCATTTACCACACAACTGATCAGCTGAGTACTGAAGTGTGTCAGGACCTGAATCATAAATTCAGCTCTTTTGAAATCCAGCCATTGAGAAAACTACATCAGTTTCCCTTCACTGTATATGATGCCACATGTAATTCAGCTTCACACATAATTATTCTTTGGGTTAATAATTAAGTTTAAAACAGATTTTAACCATATTTCTCTGTTCATGGATCAGTAAAACCAGTGAGTGGTGCTCTGTATTTTAGCTACATGCAGAACATGTGACTTTCTCAGACAATCTGCTTTTAAATACACAAATTGAGAGAGCAAACATGGATGTAATATCTGACACTGATGATCCAGAACCCTCCTGCCCTGTGAGACACTCAGTCAGTCAGTCAGATTTCAAGTCATTATCTTGAAAATGACGTACAGTTTTGTTCTGTGAAAACAACAACAACAACCAATTATGACCTGTACAAATGTTATGGCACATCACATCTTTCATATTTATTTATACATATTTATGTTTGACTTTTTTCTTATATGTCAAATTTAGTAAATAAATTCAATTTGTGCAGGAAAATTAGTAGAAAAATGCTACTTCTCCAGTACTGCATTCAGTACTGTCTCAGTGGGAGCTGGAAGCGAGAGAGTGCAGACATGAGCTGAGTGTAGAGCTTAGGCTTAGAGTGAACTGCCAGCAAGCTCTCTTTATGTGGCTGTGGCCAAATACAGATCATTAATAAAGCACAATGACTTGTGCATCTCACAGCTCAACTCACTCAGGTCTTTCTCCATTTGTCAAACTGTGGTCAGATAGAGATGTAAAATGAAAAAGCGCATGTACATGCAAATCGTCTGTTTAACACTTTCGCTGCTTTTTACGATCCTCTGTGATAACACTTGTTACCACAGTAAGATAACATCTCCTGCTCAAACACCACTACCAAAAATAGGCTTTTACATTGAAATCTACTCTCTGTAACCAGCATGTTATAAAATGGATTTTTAGTTTTGGAACATATGGTGTTGCTTCAAAAATTGCATGCAAAAAGGAATAATTCACAAAATGAAATATTGCATAACCTCATCTCAAAAAGTACATCCTCTAATGAATGAACCTGTTTAAAGCATTTAATTAATAGACTTGTAATAAATATCTTCCCCCATTTGATCAATATACCTTATTGAATATATAAACTTTCCCTCTTTGATTGGGGCAGGCATGTGATTAATCTGGGTAGGTTCACACAGGCCCACCCAGAACTACAGCCCTGTCTTGTAAAAATATATTCTTTACAGTAACAAAAACTTTTAACAAATTAACACCCTTTATTAGACCACGGCCAGTAAACTCTCTGTACCTCTCAATTTAGGTGCTCATTTGGTTTTTTTGTGCTTTGTGTTGGAATGTAAAATAAAATGCTTGCTACAACTTGGCCCCAGCGTCCTCCACAACAACGGAGTATAGCCTTTTATAGTGGCCATGCAAATTTTTCCTACTTGTCACAAGCAACACGTCAATAGAAAGAAGCAGAAAATACTGCTGTGATAGTTTTTATGGGGGAAAACATAACATGGCCATGTGTTACTGATCTCATAACCATGAATTCAGAATCTTGTAGCCATGAAAATTTCTCCGTTGGCCATTTTGTAATTCTCATTTAGTTCAGTTTTTGGAAGGGCAGTCAGATTCTTTACAAGCCTATGGTGAAAAAGTGCATGTGCGAGCAACTTCCAAGAATTACACTTTCAACACTTCAGCTCTGTGCCATCCACTGAGATAGAATCTGTCACCACAGAAGATAAAACCTACCACATAAAATCCCCCACACAAATATCATAGTCAAATCAGGCTTAGACATTTAAACCTCCTCTCTATAACGCGCACATATGATATTCACCCAACTCTTGATGTCCTGGTTGCGTTAGCTGTTTCTTGAAACCACATTCCTGAGATTAGACCTGTTACCGCATTCAGCAAAACTAACACGCAAACACCTGACCAGAAACACAGTCCAGTTATAAACATATGAAGGACAGAAGAGTTGTTAGTGTCTTTTTTCAAACTCTAGTAAACAAGTTCATGAAATATACCAACTAAAAAAGGGATAAAAGAGGCACCAGTGTAGACTGTGGTTTCTGTGAGGCCATTAAATACTTGTGACTTGTGGACGCAGAAATCTTTTGACTTTTATTACCAACGAGAGAAGCTAGAATCATGTCTCTACATGTCTCTGGAATCAGGCTACACTGCCCCCACGGCCTCTAGTGGTACTGCTCTGTTCTTCAGAGTTCTACAAAATGAACTCAGAGTATGGACAGAAGCCTCCATCCGCATCTGTATTTAACAGTTGAGTGTAAATAAGCCTTTAGACTGCTTATAACCTTACAGCCTTATCTCAAAACTAGTGTAATACAGTCTGAGCCATTAGAGAACATATTCACAACTAACAGAGTCATAACTCTATTTAAGTTCTCAATAGAGTCTTGAATAACTAAATTTTTTTTTACAAAAACCCAAACCTGCAGCAACTGAGTGTTTCGCTTAGTTTAGTGTTTCCAGCTTGTCTTATCAGGAAATCTGACTCATCTGATAATCTGTACGTCTGACTTTCCAGAGCAGATAAGTGGCTCTAGTTTCTTGCACTGACAAAAAGCATGTTATAAATGTGTATAAAATATGTAAAAGAAACCATAAATTAATTGCATGAAAACATACAAAGAACATTTAAAGATACTTGAAAAATTATTATAAAAATAGTTTACAGTAGTTTTTTACATCAACAACCATACGTTTATTTATATCTAATTTAAGCTTGTTACAGAATATTCCACTGGTTTGTGTGTTTTTTTTTTGTTTTTTTTTGGTAACTTCAACTCAGGCACCTCATGAAACGCCAAATTCTTACCAATGCCCCACCTGCTCAAGTACCCTTCACTATACCAATAAGAGTCCTTGGGCAAGACTCCTAACACTACCTTCCTGCGCAAAATGATTAAACTGTAAGTTGCCCTGGATAAGACCGTCTGCCAAATGCTGTAAATGTGAATGAGTGCATCTTATAATTGGTGTGCTGGCAATTACACTTGTGATTGGCTGCTTCCACAGCTACCACGAACATGGGAAAAGGACAAAAACAAGAAGGAGGTGAGATGGATAAGCCATGGAATCGGAAGAGCACATATTCTATATACTTTGGAAAAAGAATTCCGATCCATGACCTTACTTACAAAAACTATTCGACCTCATGGGTTTAAAATACAATTCCTGATGAAGAAATAAATTAATTATATTAAAATCTTTCTCTTGTATGATTTTAAAGATAAACCATTATTTGGACTACTGCATTATTTCAAGAACTGAATTTCAAACCCCAACAGAAAACGCTTTTTAAATTAACACTTTTACTTTTCCCTTTCAGTACATTTGTACTTTTGTACTTTAACTTGAGTAAAAAAATCATATGTCAACTTTCAGTAGAGTAATTTATTACTAGAGTACTTCAGCAAGACACTTGTCTACGGTTGAGACCTTGGGTTACATGCCAGGTTTCATGAAAAACTAAAGATAAGCTGAAATAAAAATGAAGTAGATAAGATGTAGCAGCCACAGACATTCACTTACAGAAAACAAGATCTCCCCCCCCCCGAGAGAGAGAGAGAGAGAGAGAGAGAGAGAGAGAGAGAGAGAAAGCAGTGGCAGAAGAGCTTCAGGTAAGAAGAAACTGTTCAGTTGAATGTGCTATAAAAAGTTTTAAAAGTTAAAAATGTTAACTGAACTTCAGTATTTAATAGAGATGCTAATTTGCCAGCCTGTTTACATCTTGATTTTGAATGTGTGTTAAAGAAACCAGAAGTAACTTTAGACCATTTCTACTGTTCCATTTATCATGAAACTTTAACACAACATAAACAGCAGCTGTCAAAAAAATAGAAAATGACAAAAATGAAGATACAAGGTTTTGTTCCGAAAGTGACGATATGTTTTAGGCTGAGGGCAATTATACTTGTATGAACTCCTTTTTTCTGTGGTCTATGATGCTCTCTGCTGGTTTAACTAGTTGACCAGCACATCGGCATCCAAAACACAACATATCGCTGCTGTCGGGAGAAAACCTTGCATCTCCAAAACGATTGCTTTACAGGAGAAGGAGAAAACCTAGTTTAATTTTAACGTAAGGCCCAATCCCATTTCACCCCTTGCCCCAACTACTTAGCCCTTAGCCCTCTGTTCTGCACGTTCAGGGGTTGGGTGTCCCAATTTTTGTTGAGATAGAGGGGGAGCGCGACGTGTTAGGGCTACATGACCCTCCAAACAGAGGTTTTTCAAAGACTCACTCCAAACAGAGTGTTATCAGAAAAAAAAAGAAAAAACGGCAAGATGGCTGAACAGGAGATCAAAGAAACCCACAAATGTGAGAATTTTCTCTGTTAAAAATTACAATAACTATCGTATTGTCTTAGTTTAATGTCGCTTCAATGTATCATGGTGGTTTTCTTCATAATAAGCATAAAAAACGGTAATAGCATGCTAATAGCATGTTTCGGTAGCTAGCTAGTTAATTTTTCCGTTCCACCTTAAATAGTCCAGCAGTTCTGACGCCTGACGCGCCAGAATGTAACTGCTGCACCGTTTAAGTTGGAATGGGACAATTTGAACAAGAAGCTGGTGAATAGCTGACTTCAGCATCATGTCACTGAAGAATTGGCAGTTCGTATTAAACAATTGTCTTATCCCCCCTCTTCGAAGGCATATGATACCCTAAATGTAACTAAAGCCCAGCAGTGAGGAGCTGAACTTTACCCTCATCTGCTATCACTGCAGACTGGCAGGGTCGCCTACAGAGCAGCGCTGGTAACTGTTAATGAAGCAATGTTTTTTTATTTATTTTTTTATTTTTTTATTTGAGTCCCATTTTGTAGGGAAAGATTTCAACCACTACCCCTTGTAACTCAGTTCCAAAGGGTTAGGGTGACACTCGAAAACAAAGGGTTGGGGTAAAAAGAAAAAATGGTATTAGGCCTAAATCAATGGAGCCAGACTTATGCTTATGCTGATCTATGCTAAGTGTTTATATAGCACTTGAATTTCGCTGCTGTCGGAACAAAACCTCATATCTCCAAAATGATACCTTTACAAAAGAAGGAAAAAACATACTTTACTTAAATGTAAGTCAATGGAACCAGATTTTTTTCCAAGTAATTTTAGGCCGTTTCTTTTGGTCCATTCATTGTAAAATTTACACACCATGTAAAGGGCAACAGGCATTTTCAAATTATGTCAAAAAACTGAAAAATGACAAAAATGGAGATATGAGGTTTTCTTCCAACAGCAGCGATTTGCTACCTAACTTAGCCAGTTTTAAAGGAACATGATCTGTAACATACTAAAACTTCAGCCAAATAAACTGACAGCTATAAGAATCTGATGCGCTAGCTAGCATACTTGCCATCAAAACCACAGCCTTACCAACATTTTCAAGTTGTTTTGCCTCTTCTTTTTGAACCTTATACTGCTGTGAGCTGAGGTTGGTAACAACAACAAAGTCCAGCTGCAGGGGTACCAGATATTTCAACTAGTTATGTGGACAAACCATTAGCATAACAGTAATAGCCATTAAAATAAACACAACTGTCTGTAAAATAAAGGTGATTTTTTTCTGAATTTTCATTTTGTTTCAACTTTCATTCTAGCAGTGTTAAAATACAGAAGGAGTAAAGTTTATTTATCTGAATTAAAACAAAAACAAACAAAAAAACAGGTATTGACCAGTATTTTACAGCATTTTGACAGTGAAAATTCATTTTTTTATAGCAGTGTACCTGTTTATCAGTATTGTTTTGACCCTTTGGGTACAGGTAAAGAATCAGTCTATCCTTAAATATGCCCAGGGGCATAATGAAGCGTGGTCATCATTTCAGCCACCCATTTCAACAAAGTGAGACAGTTGACAGTCACCACAGAACAGTTCTGCTATTTTTTTTTATTTTCACATAACATAATGGAAAACAGGATAAAATCACTTCCAGTTTTTCTGAACTGATAGTGTATTTAAACATGTGGCCAACCCAGTTAATAACAGTATTATTTTGTTGATCATAGAATAGGAATCAGACTAGTAATTTGTCTAGTGTACTTCAGCAGTGTTTATTAAGTAGGCTGTATAATAATAAGATGAGGGAACTGTCATCATAAATGAATAAGTATTAACATTTAACATCTTATAGTAACATCTGTTGTCTTTACAACTGAGTGCATGTATGTGTTTCATAATGCAGGCAAGATTTCATCAGTTGTGAGTCCAGAGTTGAGTATAGGTTCCTGCTAATGCTAAAGTAGGTTAGCTTGTTTCTTAGACACATTTTCTCAAAATGGTGCCTCACACCTTTTTTCCCCCTCTCAGTTTGCCACCCCAATAAAATTGCTGGCCACCTTATTGAAATGGTTCCTGCTACGCCCCTTACATTTCAATCTGCGTTTCACAAAATGCAAACACAGGGGCGTAGCCAGAACCTTTTCAATTGGCTAAAGACATGAAATTATACACCCCTAATTCCAAAAAGGAAATGTGTTACATCAATTTCCTTTGAACAGCACTTTGTTTGGGGACTGAAGTCAATTTTTTTTGTGGTATTGTTGTCATATTTGTCCTTAATAAAAGACACATATTTTTCTATGAGAGACAGTTCTGGACTGCAGGCAGACCAGTCTAGAACTCTCTGATTACACAGCTATGCTGTTGTAGGACATGAAGAATGTGGCTTGCTGTTGTTATGTTGAAATAAGCATGAATGTCCTTGAAAAAGAGGCCATCTAAAAGGCAGCATACGTTGCTCCAAAATGTTTTCAGTATTAATGGTGCTTTTACAGATGTGCAAGGTTACCCACTAACAACCTGGCATACCATGACAAACGCTGGTAACACTCTGGATGGTACTTTACTTCTTTGGCCCAGAGAACATGACGTCCAATATTTCCATACAACTATGAAAGGTTGACTCAACACAACACAATACATGTCGCCACTGTGCATCAGTCCAATATAAATGAGCTCGAGCCCAGAGAAGTCTGCAGTGTTTCTGGACACTGTTAACATAAGACTACATTATGCACGGTGGAGGTCATAACTTGCATTTGTGGATGAAGAGGCGGACGGTATTTATTGTTAACAGTTTTTCAAAGTATTTTTTTTTTTAAATGCAGTGCTGTCTGAGTGGTCAAAGGTCACAGACATATAGTTCAGGTTTTCAACCTTTTTTTATGCAGAGATTTGTAAGAATTCCCTGAATATTTTCATGATGTGCAGTGTACAGCATGAAATACTTAAAATCCTTGCAATCACTGGCTGAAGAATGGTATTTGTTGTATGTTTTTGCTGATGTGTTTTTAGCAAAGTGATGAGTGCTCGACCCAACCTTCCTCATAAAGGAGGACGACTTTTTCTGGATGCTTCTTTCATATCCAAGTACGATTGCATTACCATTTTTAGATGTTCTATAACTTAAGGAAACACAATTTTACGAATTATGATATTTTTTGTTTCAAATGATTCTTGATCACCCAGTAAATTCTAAGAGATGTTTTTTCTGTGTAGGTAGAACATCAAAGAACACGTCCCTATAATATGTTCTTCCGGCAGTGGGTACTACAGTAGCTGTGTTCATCATCTCTGCTATCAGTAAGTATTCATGATTCACTTCACTTGCTAATTTTGCACAAACAGCATCTTAATACTCACTTCCACAATGCTCTTTCTTTATATTGTGTTTCAGGACTGCACTAGTTTCACAGTGATTCAGACGTCAGACGTATCATGAACACAAACCCTACTGAGCAAACTCTTGCACCCAATTTCAGTAATTACACTGTTGAGGAAGATTACTTTTATGATTATTATAATACCGACATCATAGTCTTCGTCCTCCTCATCGCTGGCATATGTGTGGGTCTGCCAGCTCTGGTTTGGGCTGTGTGGATTTTATGCCAACACTGGAAGAGCGGAGGCCGAATTTCAGCCTTCATCCTCCTCCTCCTCCTGAATGATCTCTCAGAGCTGATCCTGAGTGTGTTTATACTGTTAAATTTATACTCCATTATGAGTACTCCCATCTCTGAGCTCTATTATCAAGAATGGTACAGTGGCAGGCTGTTATTTTCTTTCTGACGTATTCTTGACCACATTTAGAATCTGTGGTCTTTACCTCCACCAGCTGGTGGCGCTAGCGTGTATTCTATGTATGAAAAACCAACAATCCTTTTCTGATTGTAATAGGTGTGCAATTACAGACTGCTTACCTCTGACCCGCTGTAGTAGTATGAGGACGATAAACAGCGGTTTACCCTATTGTATATATGTATTTACTCAAGATAAAATACACTGTTACAGCATTGAAATTTTTCAGTTTTTGACATTATTTGAAAATGTCTGTTGTTCTTTACATTGTGTGTAAATTTCATGATGAATGGACCAAAAGAAAACTTGGAAAAAATGTCTGGTTCCATTGACCTACATTAAAAGTAACGTAGTTTTTATCCTTCTCCTGTAAAGTTATCATTTTGGGGATATGACGTTTTCTTCCAACAACAGCGATAAGCTGTTCATAGGTAATCCATCTGTACCTGTGAATACATCAATAGTTGTTACATTGTTGTTAGTGTGTACCTACATAGTTACTAGTGAGCTATGTGATGGGAGCAAAACTTAGCTCTAGGTACTCTTTCTTAGCTTTACATTCATGTATATTTATTTTAAGCTGTTATGATGTTTGAAATGATGTAAACATTGTGTTTTTTTTAATCACCTTTATAGCACATCTGATTTAAGAACCTGTGATCTCAGTATGACGTCCTGGTAAAATACAGAACAATGGCATCATGTCGCTGTTATCAGAACAAAACCTCGTATCTCCAAAATAGTAACTTTACAGGAGAAGGAAAAAACTTACAATACTTTTAATGTAAGTCAATGGAACCAGACTTTTTTCTACGTCATTTTGGGCCGTTTCTCTTGGTCCATTCTTCATGAAATTTACATACAATGTAAAGAACAACAGGCATTTTCAAATTATGCCAAAAAATGAAAAACAGGAAAAATGGAGATACGAGGTTTTCTTTCGACAACAGTGACGTATAGAGTCTAAATGATGGCGGTATAAGCAGTTCTGTCACTGACTGTAACTGATTAAGCTGATTGTTCATTTATCATTTTCTCAATATGTTCCATGAAAGATGAAAAAGGTTTTTTTCCTTCTCCTGTAAAGTTACTTTTTCTGGAGATACGAGTTATTTTGACAGTGAGAATATACACGTATGTGTATGTACATGTGTTCTGTATCTTTGTCTTGATTGTAAATAGTGTTTTGCTTTTGCAGATACTGGTGCAAAATACACACGATTACTCATCAGTAAGTGTGAACTAAACATTATTGAGTCTCAATGAATGTACTTAATGTAAAACCTTACACAAGGTGTATGTGAAGTCTTACAATGTTATAGGCTTAATAATCATTAAATAAAATAATACATCTTTGGACAGCAGTACTATCCAGATATGTAATAAATAATCTTATAACATACTGGTCAAACAAGACAAGCACACAGGCTAAAAACGAATACGAGATTAGATATAAAAGAGCCCCTGTGAAAGAAGCTAAAGAGATGAAGATGTAAATGTGAACGGCAACTTTTCTTTGTACTATTTTCATTTAAACCCAGGTCAAAGTGCAAAATTACTTCCTTTTGGTTTTTTTTTGTTTTTTGTTTTTTTTTTTGCTTTTTATGATGTTCAACTTTTTGAGAATTCCAATTGGTACAAACTGAATAAATTTACAGAATAAATAAGTAATTAAAAAAATGATTAACAGCCCTTTAAACTTGCTCTGATTCTATGATTCATCTGATAAATGACCCCAGTACCACTGAGCAGTGAATTGAACAGTGAGCAATAAGCTGGCACGGTGATGCAGTGGGCATAAAAGTGACCCACCGTCAGGACTTCTTGCTAGACAACTGCTGCTAAATTATAGAGCTCCGCCCTGATCTGAGTGTTCTCGTGCTTTCTGAACACAAAGGCTCTCCCTGCAGACGAAGCACACAGCAGACGCTCTGCAATCACTCGCAAACTCACTAGACAGTCTGTATAGTCAAAAACATGGCAACACTTTGAATCAAGATGACTGGCTTCCTGCTTGTGGGCAGGATGTGGTCAGAAGAGGCTTTGCAGGTAAGTAAGCATATGAGTGTTAACTTTACTAAAGGCAGCAAGTCAAACCAGCCATCCAATCATTTCTAGAAACATAAACACAGTCACACAATGATACAGAGCACAGTGGGGCAGAGTGGAGAGAAAATATGAGCAAGAGATGGATATTAACTTGACGTACACTTGTCATAATTTATTTTTACATCGCCATTTTAACCAACCTCTCTTTATACCTTAGAATTAAATGGGCTGTATTTGTTAAAATGCCTCTAATGTGACGAATGATGAACTCTGTTGTGATCGGCTGCCCTGTATTTCTTGCTTTTTAAATGTAGAAGTCAATCGATAACAAGTCAATCGATATTACAAGCGTTTTTGCGATCTGTGCCTCCCTCTGGTGGGCAAGGATGGCCTTGCAGGTGACCCAGCTCCAGGCAGGCTGGGCCCTTATAACAAGAGGGGCTCCTGAGTGGCACAACCATCTAAGCACTGGCACTATTATCAGGTGATCATGAGCCATGTATTCAACTCAGGTAATGAACAGTTGTTTCAAAGTATTTAATTTTTTTGCAATGAATATGAAAAATAATTTAATTGCTTATTTGCCACAAATTAATTCATTTTATTATTATATTAAATACCATATATATATAAATAATCAGCTCCACTTACTATATAGTTGTACTTTGTAGTTCTACAATTACAGACTGTTCTTCAGTGGTCAGGACCCCCATGGACCCTCACAGAACATCTGCCAACAGCTCATCTGCTGCACAGTTTGTGTTGGTCATCCTCTAGTCCTTCATCAGTGGTCACAGGACGCTGCCCACAGGACGCTGTTGGCTGGATATTTTTGGTTGGTGGACTATTCTCAGTCCAGCAGTGACACTGAGGTGTTTAAAAACTCCAGCAGCACTGCTGTGTCTGATCCACTTGTGCCAGCGCAACAGACACTAACACACCACCACCACATCAGTGTCACTGCAGTGCTCAGAATGATCCACCACCCAAATAGTACCTGCTCTGTGAGGGTCCATGGGGGTCCTGACCACTGAAGAACAGGGTAAAAGGGGGCTAACAAAGTATGCAGAGAAACAGATGGACTACAGTCTGTAACTGTAGAACTACAAAGTGCACCTATATAGTAAGTGGAGCTGATAAAATGGACAATGAGCGTAGTCATAATGTTATGCCTGATCGGTGTAGATATACAAACATACACACACTGACCAGCCACTTTATTAAAACCACATCCTTGTTTCTATAGGAGCACTTTGTAGTTTTACAAGTACAGCCCCCCTTTACTCTGTTCTTCAATGGTCAGGACCCCCACAGGACCTTCTTTTCTTTTCTGTCCACCATACCAGGCACCCCTCTACAAAGGTGTGACGCTGAGTGCCGTTTGCTGCTGAAATAAGTACAGCACTCAGCAGGTGAGCCTAGTTGGCCTGATTACCCCAGGGAAGTCTGGGAATTGGAGTTCCCATGGCCACTGGTTCTAGACCTCCCTGAAAGCTGCCTACACCCTCTGCTGGCTGCAGGCAGCATGAACCAATTCCTTACAGATACAGGGCTTTTATATTTTTAAGCAATATATGAAAACAATACACGGAGTAATGAAGGTCTGATAATAAGAGGGTGCTGAGTTCACTAGGCTACAGGATATTCAGGCTGACAAGGACAAGTTTAATTTGGTTGTGTTATTATTGTACTTTATTGAAACTGGTTGTAGTTTTGACGCATGGACTTTTCAGATAGTGTTTTGACAGGGAGTTTTATCTTTTTTTGCTGGGCTGATCGTGCACATAGACATGCATGCCAGTGGCGTAACTACCAGGCCCATGGTGGAGGGGTGGCCCCCCAAACCAGAAGATTTTATGACTGGTAGCCTGACCTGTCAATTGGACCATCCAGGCCACATGTGCTAAATATGAATGAAACTAGAGCACATGCAATACAGCACAATGCCATCCATTAAAATTGTAACAAATATGTGCTTTACAATGTCAATTTTTAAGTCATTTTTGTATGGAGGGCATTAATTTGTTCCATGAGATCCTAGTTATGCCACTGCTGCATGCAACACATTTGTTCACAAGATCAACAGTGCCATCTAGTGGCAGCTTGAAACGTTTGTCTTATGTCATGCTCTGGTCTTATTTTAATATTTATTCATTTCAGCAGGTTTAACTTTATTCCAAAACCACACAGTATTGTTTTGGGTCACGTTTTATTTGGATGGTCCCCTATAGATCATCTACAGACACTTATTTACAAACTTTCTGGTGATGGTCACTCAACATGATTATCAACAACATTAAGGTTAGGGTTAGGTCTAGGAGTAGGTGTAGGATTTGCCTTGAGGTTAGGGTTAGGGTGAGGTTTAGGGTTAGATTTAGTAGAATCTTCTGCACACAACTTCAAGTTCGGCTGCATTTAATAGATATTCAGTTGGATTTTAGTTAAAGGTAGACTAAGCATCTATAATGCAATCCACAGTGGACCATCCAAATCAAGTGTTACCATGTTTTGTATGAACTGAGTAAACCTGCCAGCATTCAGCCAATGAGCTTCAAAGCAGACACACGAATAAAAAGGTGCTGCACTGCTACCTGCTGTATGATGACACAACAAGAAGAGAAGAGAGGATGAAGAGGAGCATATGGATGGAGAATATGGCATAATCTAAAGAGAAATTTCCATTTTTTGTAAATGAAATGCACAATAAAGAATTCTATTCTATTCTATTCTATTGACTCTACACCACTGTGCTCTCAGGCACCACTGACTTGATGGATGTAGCATCAGATGTTGCCCCACACGTTTTAAATTTTTGATAGTAGTTTTTTTTGGTTATCTTTTATTTGGTAAAAGGGGGCTAACAAAGTATGTAGAGAAACAGCTGAACCACAGTCTGTAATTGTAGAACTACAAAGTGCACCTATATAGTAAGTGGAGCTGATAAAATAGACAATGAGCATAGAAACAAGGAAGTGGTCATAATGTTATGCCTGATTGATGTGTGTGGGTGTATATATATATATATAACAATGTAATATCACAGGACATACACTATACAGCCAAAAGTGTTTGGGCCCCTGACCATCGCACCTAAATGAGATTGTTGGACATCCCATCATTACTAAGGACCTGGCCCCCTTCGTGGTTGTTTTGGAGTGTGGCTGTTTGAATTAGTGCCCATTCAGCCTAAAGAGCATTTGTGAAGCCAGGCACTTATGTTGGATGAGAAGGCCTGACTCACAACTGACGTTCCAACACGTACCTAAGTTGTTCAGTGGGGTTGAGGTCAGGGCTCTGTGCAGACCACTGGAGTTCCACACCAAACTCATCAAACCTTGCTTTGTGCAATGATGCACACTCATGCTGGAACAGAAAAGGGCCTCCCCTAAACTGTTCCCACAAAGATTTTTTTAATCAGACAACTTCTACTCAGGCACCTCAACAAGTGCCAAATTGTTAGCAAATTACAATCCTGTGATTGGCTGCTTCCACGGTGACGAGTGGTGAGCTAGCGCATATCCTGGAAATAAATTGGAATAAAAATAGGAATTCCATCAGTGACCTTACTTAAAATAATTTTTTTTCACTTGGTTGGTTCCAAAACCAATAATTGGCAAATGAATGAATGAATGAATGAATAAATTATATGAAAAAGTCATTTTTTTTGCAGATGATGCATGCAGGTCTAACGTAAACCATTATTTACACTTAGTGTCACAGTGGCGTACATCTAATTAACACTCAGTAAACAACCCCAAGTTTCACTAATTGGATTAGAAGCACTTTGTAAATGAATACTTTCACTCTCTTCTTCAAGTACATCCAGGAGTACCTGCTTTTGTACTTTTACTTGAGTAAGAAATTGAAATTATACTTCAACTTTTACTTGAGTAAGGAAGTTTGTTATACACCTCTGGTTTTATACCAGGATTTGTGCAAAAAAATGTAATTAATAATCTATTAAACTGAATACAAACAAATCTAAATAGGAGCTAAATGACTAAAAATAAAAAGGATGATATGAAGCACCGACAGAAACTCACTTATAGAGTGATGCGTTTTAATTTAACAGAACAACATCAAAGACAACAAGAAATCCCTCCCCCTGAGTGAGAGAGAGAGAGGGAGAGAGGGAGAGAGAGAGAGAGAGAGAGAGAGAGGGAGAGGGAGAGGGAGAGAGAGAGAGAGAGGGAGAGAGAGAGAGAGAGAGAGAGAGGGAGAGAGAGAGAGAGAGGGGAAGGGAGAGGGAGAGAGGGAGAGAAAGAGAGAGGGAGGGAGAGAGAGAGAGAGAAGGAGAGGGAGAGAGAGAGAGGATTAGCTCTAGCAGTCTCTGCAGAAGAGCTTCAGGTAAGAAAACGTCAATATTGTTCAGCTGAATTTGCTGTATGTGTAATTTTCCAGTGTTCAGTGTGTTAGCGTTCAAAGCTAATTGTGCTTTTAAAACTCCAGCTTCACTATTTGAGACAGTTATTTTGTTTATAAACAGTCAGCATGTCACAATGTTTGTAGAAGTGGTCGATAGAGAAGTACCTGATGATGCGTTAGAAAGTGTTTGCTGTATAACGAATGTATCTACAGATATCATGAGATGATTATAAGGTTTTCTGAATTTGAAGACATGTATTTATTTTATTTAAGAATGAATGCAACAATACTGATCATACTGATCATGTATTCACAGCTCCAGATAGATTACATGTACACAACAGCATATTTTTTTTACGACATATTTAACAGTCTTGTTGACGTTGTGATAAAAACTTGTATCTCCAAAATGGTGAATTTTCAGGAGAAGGAAAAAACTTGTCTAATTCTGAACAATTTCTATTGGTCTGTTTATCATAAAATTTTAATACAACATAAAGAGCAGCTGGCTTTTTCATATTATGTGGAAAAAAATGGAAAATGACAAAAATGGAGATGCAAAGTTTGGTTCCACCAGTGATGATCTGTAGTAGAGTGAGCGCAATTCTATCTGTTGAATTCAGGAATCAGAAGTGCAAGATAAAACCTATTTCACAGTAAGTGTGTGTTTTCATTTAATTTTTTTGAAATACTGTCTTTTACTGTAATTCAACAGATTCCCAAATTCAGCTAGTTATTCTGACATACAGTATTTTACCATCATAATAACAGTAACAGCCATTAAAACAGAACACAGCTGTCTGTAAAATGATCATGTTTTTGTGAATTTTCATTGTTTCTATTTTCATTCTATCAGTGTTGCAGTACAGTGTATGTATGATTTTTTAATGTGAATAATGGCAATTGCCCATTAAATATTACAGTACCTTTACTGTGAAAATCTTTTCTTTTTCTTTTCTTTTTTTTTTGTTTTAACAGTGTACCTGTTTATCACCACTGTTTTGCCCCTTGCCTACAAGTACAGGGACGAGCCTATCTTTCCTTGGGCATCAGTACCACCATCCCATGAAGTCTGGTCACCCTTATGGCCACTCTAGTTGGCCATAACAAAGTGGGACAGTCAGCTATCAGCAGTTTTATGATGAAAATCTGCCATCAAGGCAGTTACCAATCGTAAGATCTCTGACGCTGCACTCATCAGTGTATCTCACAGGAAGTGAACACTGCGTCCCTATCATATGTTCTTCTGGCTGCGAGTGCTGCAGTAGCAGCGTTCATCTCAGTGGTTTATCAGCAGTTAATGTTCTAACCTTACATAGCAAACTGTGCACAAACAGCTACTTAATACTCCGTTCCGCAACTCCACTCACACATGCTCCTTCTTTACTTGTGTTTCAGGGCTGCACTAGTTTCACAGTGATTCAGAATTTGGACTGATCATGAACACAAATACTACTGAGCGAGCCTTTATACCTTTACCCAACAGCAGTAATTACACTGCTAAGGAACCTTATTTTTATGATTTTCATTATAATAACATCATAATCATCGTCTTCCTCATTGCTGGCATATGTGTGGGTCTGCCAGCTCTGGTTTGGGCTCTTTGGATTATATGCCAACACTGCAAGAGCGGAGGCCGAATTTCAGCCTTCATCCTCCTCCTCCTCCTGAATGATCTCTCAGAGCTGATCCTGAGTGTGTTTATACTGTCGGATTTATACTCCATCAAGAGTACTCCCATCTCTGAGCTCTATTACGACTGGTACGACGGATGGCTGTATTTTCCTGCTGAGGTATTATGGCCTACTTTTAGAATCTGTGGTCTTTACCTCCATCAGCTGGTGGCGCTAGAGAGTATTCTCTCTCTGAATGACCAAACCTGCTCTGCTCACATTTTCTCACCACTCTGCTCCACCATCCTGTCCATCGTACTGTGTCTGGTTCTGTTTGGAATCCAAATTATTATTTTTGATGAATTAGAGTTTTTAAACTCAGTCTTGTGTCTTTTGCCTTTCTGTATCTTAGCAGTCACATGCATACTTACATGTAAAGCTCCTCCTAATCATGACCATGTTCCTCACACAGGCATGAAGGCAGCAGGTTTAGAGGTGCTGATAGTTTCTACACTGACACTTTTCTCTGTCTGTGCACCGGTTATAACTGCATGTGTCTTTAAAACCAATAGCACACTGCCTATGTATGGCATGTATGGCATGTATAACACCATGTCTCCCTTTCTGGTCAGTATGAGGGTGGTCTCAGACCCCCTCCTATGCATACTGGTCTGCAAGGAGAAGCTCAGGGCTCAGACGCAACTAACACACAGAGACCAAAGTTTAGTCTGAGCTGAACAGCTCGTGTTATTGAAGTGGACTAAGAAGAGTGGAGGGGAGGATCACACCGTCCAGTGGATTTGATGAAGTATTTGATAGAGATGTCATGATTAGCCAAAGCACAGGCCAAAGCACCTTCAGCAGGTCTGAAAACAGAGAAATGATAATAGAAGACTGCCAATAACTTAGGTAAATAAGCATGTGTATCAAGTTTTTTACTCATGTAATTACACAATGGTACCTTATTCATTGTAACAGCGCACTTTATCTCATGTAATTACACATATGTAATAGGGTGAGGGCAATTATATTTATATGAACTATTTCTTTTCCCAACAAGGCTTTTCTGATTGTATTAGAAAGTGTGCAGTTACATACAATATAACAGTTCTTATGCTGAATCTGCAACTAGCTGTAGTAGCATGTATGTTAAAAACAGCAGTTCACCCTGTTATACATGTATATTTACATGTATATGTACTCATAACTACAAAGATACAAAAGTAAAATCTGAAGCTGATTCTCATGTATATGTACATTAGCTGCTCTTCTGTGATCCATCTGTAACAGTGAATACATCAACAGTGGTTACATTGTTGTTACATTTAATGTTAAAGTGTAGTTACATAGTTATATATAGTGGGATCAAAACTTTTTATCTCAGTTCTTGGTACTTTTTCTTAGCTTTGCATTCATGTACAGTTATTTGTAATGTGTTATGATTTTTAAAATCATGTATGCATTTTGTGTTTTTTTTTAATCACCTTTTTATCACATCTGACTTAAGAACTAATGATCTCTGTATGACGTCCTGGTAAAATATAGAATAATGGCGTCATGTAGAGAGCCGAAATGATGGCGGTATAAGCAGTTCTGTCCCTGACTGTAAATGATTTAGCTGATCGTTCATTTATCATTTTTTGTCTTAACTGATCTTATGATGTATTCGACTTTTTCAATTTCTCACCATTTCCCTTGTTGAGTGCACAGAGAGTCAAGTTCACTTGTATGAAGTAAAATATATTCATATATTGTAAAACCTACATCTTAATCTTAGCACACATGACTCTAGGTCAGTTATTTTCTTATGATCCCACACTGACCTCTACCTGAAGGCCAATTTGTGTCATGTTATGGTTTAGCACTTCAACTGTAAGAGGCAAAATTCGGCACTACAGTAAGACTACCCTTATGATCATAAACACCTTAAAATGTATTAATAAGCAGTTATAAGTTGTAAAAAAGCAAACACGACTTGTTCTATCTGACTGATGGAGAAGATCAAGTAAGAAAGTAACCACAAGATCTGAGGTTTAACACTATATATGAACGTGCGTTCACTATTAGGCAAGCAGAGGGTTTTTTTTTACACAATTCAGCCTAATCACAGTCTAAATCAGAGGTCTTTTATTAAAATTTAATAAGGTCCAGTCAAAGAAAATGTCCTCAAGCAAAAGTCCAAACATAATAATGTCTAACTTGCATTATGATTCAGTGCCATATACTGTATACTGAAGTAGTAGTTATATCAATATCTTATATGGTCAACAACTGAATATCAAATCAAATAAAGTACAATTCAGCGATATTTAAACAGTATTATAATTATTTATATAATTTTAGAGCCATGTAAAATCATCTGGCTCACTTTCTTCTCCAACTGCTATGTCTCGCCTTGTCCCTCCCCTGTGTGTGCGCCACTCACTTGAGTCTCAGCGCTCATCATAATGCACAGATCTGATTGGCTGAGTAGCGTCACATGTGATTTTTACAATGCATGCAATTGGTCTGTGAGTCTCCGGCCGCTAAAGCTACCGTAAAGGCTAGAAAACCTACACCGATTAAAATAGGACCACCCAGTCGAAATGAAATAATTCTCCTTAGTTTATCAGTTACAGGCCCAGGTCCGCCTAGGACAGCGTCTGAGTCTGGAGTCGGACTGCGGTCCACCTATTAGTGACCTCTGGTCTAAATAAACAAGCCTGTCCAATAGGAGAAGAGCTGAGGAACATTCTGATTGGACAATCCTCAACTTTTGGCTTACTAAGAAATCCTGGTTTGTGAGCTGGTGCCTTTGGATGTGAGTGTTATAACTGCTTAGTAAGTAGTTTGAACTAATTATGAACCACTAATAAACATGAACGAATGTAATTAATTCATGGACTTTTTATATGTATACTTTTCTAAAATAGCAGCCGAATAAATAAAATAGTAACCAAACAAGGCTGAATATTGATTCTGATGTATGATAACAGTACAATAATTAAGCTAACAATAATTACAATAAGCAGTAACTTGTTTCTGTTCAAATGAGCAATAAAGAGGGGTTTAAATGGGAGTCCAAGCATGTTTCATTAATTCTGCAGATGATGTTAAGCTGTTCGTTTTTTTTCTTCTCCTGTAGTTTTTAGAGATACTAGGTTTTGTTCTGACAGTGACGATATGCATGTATATGTATGTACATATGTTTTGTAACTTTCCTTTGATTTTAACCGGTGTTTTGATTTTGTGTATATTGGTGTAAGTTGTAGGTATAATTCAAATTACTCCTCCACCTGAGATTTCTCCACAGTTTTTCACACAAATAAATAAACACTGTACTTAATTACTCATGTTCTCTGTTCTTTTTCCTTTGTTTTTAGTTGTTATGCATTGTTAAACACTATTAATGCCTAAGAGTTCTTGGACATGAACACATATTGCCTTTACAACACCTCCTACTCCCGCGACAGAACACTCAGTTTATATTGTATTTACAATAGGATCTGAGTCCCTGAGAAAGCCAGCTCTGTACTTTTATAATATAGGATATAATTCTATGAGAACACTGACTTTGGTCTTTTACGACTTTAACTGGGGGTGGGAGTCGGTGGCAAGGTATAAGAACTGTGTGTCTGAACTTCTGTTCAGACTGGATGTTGCAAAGTCTCCTGATATTGATGTAAATCTGCAAGATCAAACATTTAACTCAATATATGTCCTAGGTTCTTTATTCTTTTGTGTGGAGTCTTTTTCGTTTTCCCCTGCACTTCTGAACCTCATTTGTTTCTCCCATGTTTTGTCTGATTTTTGACTTTTCTGCTCTTCTCTTGGAACATGTTGCGAGCATCAACTTCAGAATGAGTGTATATTTACATAATGATGCTGATAAAGTAAAACATTTAATATCTGTACTGTTTTCATTTAAACACAAGTCAAAATACAAACTACTGCTTCTGTTTTTTATTTTTATTACGTCTTAACTTTTGGAAATTGCAGTTTTTATGAACAATTACTACTAAATAAAGTGAACAGTGAGCAATGAGCCGATGTGGTGATGCACCAGGCGTAAAAGTTACCCACTGTCGTGATACAAATCTCCCATTACTCTCTCACGGCGAAGGCTGCAAATTTACAGAGCACCACTCTGATCTGAGTGTTCTTGTGCTTTCTGAAGCCAAAAACTCTCCCTGCAGACGAGCACACACAGGAGAGGATCTGCGATCACTCGCAACCTCACCAAACAGTCTAAATAAAACGCAGAATCCGAAAACATGTTTAAAAAAAATGGCACATATAAAACAACAAGCGTAAATGTGGCAATGCTTCGCGCCAAGACACCAGGTTTTGTGTTTGTAGGCAGAACATGATCAGAAGAGGCTTTGCAGGTAAGTAAACATGTGAAAACTAGCACAACTAAAGGCAAAAGACACAAAACCATATTTATGACCCATCCAACGAGACTTATAAACATCAACACGATCACCAACAGCACCATGATGATGCAGAGAACAGTGGAGCAGAGTGGAGAGAAAATATGAGCGAGAGATGGATATCTCAGAGAAAGAACACTCTCTAGCGCCACCAACTGGTGAAGGTGATGACCGCAGATCCTGGTTCCAAAGAAAAGATAAAGAACAGCATTACGGTTTATTACAAAATGTCTTCCCCATGTGAATGACATAATTACTGAACTGAGAACCAGCTCCAGCAGGTCGCTGAGGAGGAGGAAGATGCTGAAGGCTGAGATTCGGCCTCCACGCCTATGATGGTGGTACAGAACGTGCAGAGCCCAAACCACAGCTGGAAGACCCGCACACACAGCAGTAGTGTAGAAGATGGTCTCTCTAATGAGTGCAGGGTTCAGATTGTCCTCTGTTGTTGTGTAGTTCATGACTTCTTTGTCTTCTTCCTAACGGAAAACTGTGATAATGAATGAAGTCTATAACAAATTATCAACAAATCTGCTTCAGTGAATACAGAATTGGAGGCTGAATGAGTCTGAGAGGCTTTAGTCTTCACTCTCTCTCTTTATGCTAGCAAAATATCTTACGTCATTTATTCCTTAAACTTTGCCACCGAAGCATTTTAGCTACTTACCGAAACCATAGCAGACCAATTAAAGGAAAACCTCAACCACACTGCAACCACACATGACACAGGTACCTACACAGGAAACATAGAAACATAAGTGTGATCAAGTCTGTTAATTCATGTTGATCAGCATAAATCCCATTACTAACCACTGTGCCATGTTTACTGGTTTTGTATTTATGGTACAGAAACTCATTTTCTTTGTATCTTGCGACTGTTTTGAGGGTTTATCACCTGATCAATCTGTAAAACTGCTCATATGTCAATGTAGCTTCACCACATGATAGTTCCTAAACTTCTACTCACAATATTCCCTTGAGGTTCTTATAAAAAAAATATATATATATATTTCATCTTACACAACTCTTTATCCAACCTCTCTTTATGTCTGAGAATTAAACCATCTGTATTTTTTAATATACCTGTAGGACTGATAAGAATGATGAACTCTGTTCTGATTGGCTACCCTGCATTGCTCTTTTAATGTCCAGAGTCAATTGATAAGACAAGCAAAGCAAGGGAGCAAATGAAAGGATGAGATAAAGGTTTAGTCCACTAAGCCTGGCTTAGCTGAGAAAAATTCATAGCATTCGGCGAGAGTATGTGTATTTATGGATTTTTAACATAGTTTGCTGCAGATAGACAATTAGATCAGACAGTGCTGGCGAGCGCACCATCACCCACTACTCTGAGCCAGGTGTTCATGAAGTGCTTGATTAGTTTAACATTTTCACTGTGATTTCATTTCCACCTTAAAAAACTGACCAAATTATCAGCCAATCTGGCAACCACACTCTAAAGAGAGAAGCAAGAAGACTGTGCAGGAGATAGTGGGAGATCTTAAGTCAGGGCAGGCACAGGTGTCACTGTTCTCCTTTAACCCTCTCAGGTCGACGATGCAACATCAAAGGGCGTCAAACATCAAAGAATGAATATCTCATGAATGTTGCATGCTAGAGACTTACTTTTATATTGCATTGAAGCATTGTTCTGTTGTCAAGTCACAGCCTCTGATTGGTCGATGGACTCAACCCCTGGATGGCTAACAGCCATGCTAACACCAACAATAACTCTTCTCAACACAGAAAAATGGATGATCACAGACTACACTGTTGGATTCGTCATTTCTGTTACAAAGTCTCCAAAAAGACAGTGCAGTTCAAAGCTGCATTACAAAGCTTCTGAATGGAATAAGCTTGCACCAGAGCCCTCACTGGAACAGCAAAACGCTATCTTTCTGAGAAAAAGTAAAAGTAAGTCTCTAGCCTGCAGCATTCTTGAAATGTATTCTTTTATTTACGACGTCCTTTGATAACACACACAATGTCGTCCATCTGAGAGGCATTTGAAACATTCTCTTTACAGCGAATTACTTTTGAAACCAATGTTCAATTTTTAATGGTGCTCAGAACTTAGGTTACTCACACATTAATCCTTTAGGAACAAACCCATGTTCTCATATGCTCTCACTTTTTTTTTTGGAAAGGCTATGCATTTCTGAAAGAACTGTTGAAATGCATTCAGATTCACTTGAATAACTGAGTTCATTCTACTTTGCTACCTTTTAAATAACAGGCCACAATATAAAGTGTACTTCTTTGTGTTAATGTCAGTTTTGTTATTCAGATTTGTAAAACATTTAAAATACAGAAGTTTTCCGTTTAAAGAATAATCATTCTTACCGGGAGGTGTTCGCTCTGATTAACAGTGCTGTAAGAATCCTACGACTGAACACAAACGATTTCTACTGCTCTAGAGGTAGGAGAGAGGACCAGGCTGATCTTTTAGATCCTCTCACAGATCAGAGAGGCTGACTGACTGATTTCCAGTAAGTCAGATTTCAAAATAGTAATAGTCAGAAAACGCAAGCTGTTGATTGTAGCATTCAGATAAGGGACAGTTTCCTCTTTAGCAGCATTTCTTCATCTTTTACTGAGGCTTTCACACAAAACTTCTCCCAGCTAGTTTCTGAAGTCACCACTAATAAGAATAAAGCCTCAACAAGGCTCAGCGGAAGACACGCAAATATTTTATATATGCGAGTTGTGAGGTGTTATCTTGTGAGTGAGGTTGAACACTGACCAGTGTGCTCATGGCAAGGCGACATGAATCAGAGTTTGAATGAGGCATACTGGGTGCCAAACGGATGGGAAATTCCATTTCCAAAGTTGTGCAGGGATTTAACATTCCTCGATCCACTGTGTCACATGTGTACTGGGAATTCATCATAAAAGGCATTACCATCCACGGTGGACAGCGCAGTGGCACCCACGGGTGCTTAATGATCGTGACCGGTGGCATCTGGCTAGAATTGTCAGAGCAAACAGACAAGCAACTCTGGCAGAAATCACATCCACATTCAATAGAGGAGGCCCCACACACATATCCCACAGGTCAGTGCAACGTTCTGTAGCTTCCATGGGATACAGGAGCAGAAGACCCACCAGAGTGCCTCTGTTAACACCACGACACAGGGCCTCACCTGGGCTTGTGTGGTTGCTAACTGGACCCTAGAGGACTGGCAACATGTGCCGTGGTCCGATGAGTCATGGTACCAATTGTTTTGGGCTGATGGTGGGGTTCATGTGTGGCATGGACCCTATGAAGTCATGGACCCCAGCTGTCAACAAGACACTGTGCAGGCTGGTCTTGGTTCCATACTGGTGTGGGGTGTGTTCTCATGGCATGGGTTGGGTCCACTGGTCTGCCTGAACCCATCATTGACCATTTTACTGCTTGGTGACCATTTGCAGTCCCTTATGGACTTCATGTACCCCCACAATGATGGGATATTCCAGCAGGCTTGTGATAATGCACTGTGTCATCAGGCCTCTAAAGCCAAGAAGCAGCACAGTAGTTTACTTTAATCGTAAATTGAATCAGTAATGTTGATACTGGGCTTTCTTACTTATAAGTAATGTATGAAAAACATTACATGGAGTAATAAAGAATAAGAAGGTACTGTGTTCACTAGCCTACAGGATATTCAAGCTGGAAACTAGAATGGCCTGTGACCAGTTCAAGCAGCACACAATGACAAGTTCTAGTTTTATTTTGTTATTGTTATTTATTAAACCTGTTATTAGTTTCGGGGCACGTGCTTCGCAGTTGACATTTTGTCAGGGAGTTTCACCTTTTTTACTGGACTTTTTGTACACATAGACATGGCTGAACGCTCTTTTTCAGACACTTTCCATATTTCCTCACACCAGTGATCATAAATATGTTTGATCGAACTGACAGTGCCATCTTGTGGCAGCTTACAGCACTCGTCTGATGTCATGTTGGTTTTAAATGCCCTATTATGATTATAATTGTGTGGTTTTTTTTTGGATGTTTTATTCATTTTAGCAGGTGTAACGATTTATTTAGCTGGAACCGTTAAAGGAATCTGGTAACTGTAGTGCATGTGGCCTATATACTGTACATACACTGTACATACTACACATACAGGAAGGCAGCACATATATTGTAATTCTTAATTCATTAAATAATCTGAATAAAAGTGTACAGTATGTATCTTTAAGAGTACGGACCTCTAAGCTCTGCACTGCAGCACCACAGTCATAGTTAACCACAGTCTTACCACCAATGATAGGCAGCTGTCTAGAAAAGTGATACGAGACAGATGTCCAAAGCATGCAATGCCTCTAAAAGGAACATCACAGAAAGTCTTTATGTAGAATGGTTATGAATATGCTGCCTGGTGCCTGAGACATCATTTTATAATAGTGTGGAGGGAAGGATTTGGCCTAAAATGTATTTTTTGCAATCTATTCAGGTCAGAGAAGTACATGTAGGGTGTTGTGAGGCAAAATAGTTTCCCAAAGAAAACATTTTTCAGGTGCTAGCACTATTTTACCGTCATCAACATTACATATAAAACCTCAGAAGACTCGTGTAGGTGCAGTGGTGGTTTCGGATGGTAAAATGGCCACATTTGTGTTGTGGTCATGCTGACTCCTGGTTCACCACCACTATAAAGAAATAAGTCTGTAACTTTCTCTATAATGAACCATTTCATATTAAACCACTCTGAATGACTTTATTTACATCTCAATGACTTAATTATGAATTTTGAAAAACTGGTGTAATTCCAATAAAACAAACAAAAAAAAAAAACAGTTTTACTAGAATTTGTCCCAGCACAGTTACTAGGGTCACTTGTTTAAAATGTGTACTGGACCTTTAAGAGCTCTAGGGTGTTCTAGCACACTTGACCACACTGTGGTTTCACCGCAGATAAAGATCTGTAGAAGAATAAAGAAGCAATTAGAAAAAAACTTCTCCAAAAGCAGAGTAACACATATCAGTGTGCAAACAAGAACATTCCTCCCTCACAATCATAAACACAAGTTACATTAACAAATAAGAGTAATAGAAGTACTGTATGGCATTTTTAATAGCAGCTAAAACTGGTATTACGGTGACTTAATTCACAACTTAATTCAACACTTTCATTAACACTAATTCACTACTGCTACTTCACTGATATGTTCTGGATGTGATACTGGTACTTTAAGAATGTATTAATCATCATCACCATCATAAAAAAGACCACTTACAATAATGTGTTACCAGTATTAATTACATAAAAAAGACATTTAAAAATACAGTGAAAAATAAAGTGAAGTTGAAAGATTTTGATTCACCATGAGTTTCATTTTTATATACTATATTAAAAAAAAATCAAAAAGTGCTTCCTGACCTTTTCACATCACTGCTGAAATACAAAAGTTTAATCTAGAGATAAGATCTTATTTTAGCCACGCCCCTGAATTTTAGAGCAAAAAGGCCACATGGACAGGGGTTAGATCCCATTTTTGAAATAAATGTATACCAAAATCTGAAAATCAGTGTGGAACATTTAGAACTGCAATAACTGAAACACATTTAATGCAATTAAGTAAACTTTTTTGTGTTTCAATGAAAAATACTGTGATTTTATGTGTGTAAAACTGTTCAAAGATGTGTTTGCTTGTCATGTACTAGCTAATGTTTATAAGTTCTGCTCAAATTAACCCAAAACTGTGATGACAGAAACATTTGGTAAAGTTTTGGTGATGCTATGATTGTTTTGGTCAACTTACCTTAAACTGAGACTCAGCAGTGTTCCTCAGATTTAACGCTACTTTAAACTGAGACTCAACAGTGTTCCTCAGATTTAACGCTACTTTAAACTGAGAGTCAACAGCGTTCCTCAGATTTAACACTACTTTAAACTGAGAGTCAACAGTGTTCCTCAGATTTAACGCTACTTTAAACTGACACTCGACAGCGTTCCTCAGATTTAACACTACTTTAAACTGAGACTCAACAGCGTTCCTCAGATTTAACACTACTTTAAACTGACTCAACAGTGTTCCTCAGATTTAACACTACTTTAAACTGAGACTCAACAGCGTTCCTCAGATTTAACACTACTTTAAACTGAGACTCAACAGTGTTCCTCAGATTTAACGCTACTTTAAACTGAGACTCAACAGCGTTCGTCAGATTTAACGCTACTTTAAAATGACACTCAACAGCGTTCCTCAGATTTAATGCTACTTTAAAATGACAGTCAACAGTGTTTCTCAAAATTTAACACTACTTTAAACTGACACTCAACAGCGTTCCTCAGATTTAGCACTCCTTTTGAGAGTTATATATAAAATATTTTTCTTCCTTAATATGATGTATTTCCGAGTGAAACAGGCTACTTGGACAGCAAATAAATGTGGGCTGAATATGATTTTATTCTTCAGGGTTTGATTTCTTTCTGAAACATGATTCATTAATAGCTGAATCTGTATTTTTTAATCTGTATTTTTTTTACTTTTTAAGATGTAGATGAGGCAAAGCGCCGGTTATTAGCCTCTCCATTACTTTTCTTACACTCTAACAGCGAAGGCAAGAGAAAAAGACTTCAGGAAAGAAATAATTCAGCTTAAATAAATTCTTGTATGAGTGTACTTTAGTAAACATATGGAGGAATTTTCTTTGAGCTGAAAAGATGTTTCTATACACCACAGAATTCATTTTGGGGTACATCATCAATGAAGATGAGTGAGCCAGTACCTGTGGCAGCCATACAGGCCCAGGCCATAACACTCCCACCACCATGTTTTCCAGATAAGGACCAGGTCCTTTCCACCTTTGCACTTTGTTCTTGCCATAACTCTATTACAAGTTAATACTGGTATCATCTCTTCACAAGATATTTTTCAGAGCTCTGCAAGCTTTTAAAGTTCTTTTAAGCAATCTGTTTTTGTGGCTTATTAGTGGTTTGCATCCTGCAGCGTAGCCTCTGTGTTTTGTTTCTAATGTTTGGCTGATGTCTCTTATGATGTTATTCTTATTTCACTGCTTTATAATGGTTTAATTGACTTTTATTGGCACAACTTTGGTCCTAATGTTGACAAACAGCAAAATCAGACTCCAAAGGTGACCAAAAGCTTAAACCTCAACTAATGAAGCAATTAAACAAACTTGAGTAATCACAAACACTCATTTGCAATCCATGAATGCATGCTTGTATATATTTTCATTGCAAGTCATGTAAAATTTGAGTAATTTAAACTTAGTTTACTCTGTTGTTTTTGTTCATGGCCTACTTAGACTCTCCTGTCATGGTGCAAAGTCTCTCTGCAATATATGTCAAATGAGTGCTTGTGGTGCTGCAGCTACATTTACTGCGAGACATTTACTGAGCTGCTTCTACTGACCTATCCTAGAGGACATAAAGAAAAACACTGTCTGAGGTCATACTGATGTTGAAATTGATGAATCAGTAAACCATTTCAAATTGACACATTTCCTGTTCACAAGCTGTTCTAGATCTGATAAAACCTCAAACCCACAGCAGGTGTCACAGGTCAGTACGCCACATTTTTAAAACATTTACTTTCACAAGTTCCAGTTTTCCATCAAAACTCTAGAGATCAGAGCACACTGACCAAATATCCTGCAACAAAAACAACATTCTGATGTTTGCAATTTTTCCTTAGAATGAAAAGGAAAAGAACTGACCAGCCCAGTGACCCAGAGGAAATGGATGCAGAATATTCTAGAGATTAAACAACCAAACAATTTTGGCCAACGTGCTCCAGATTTTAAAAAAAGATGGTTCTTCAATGGTTCTTTAGTAAAAGAAATGGAATTATTTAGAACTCTTCTATTTAGAATCATTTCATGATTAAACGGTTCTTTGAATGTGTTGTATATGGATTTATACAGAATCTTTTTAAAATAGTTCTAAATAGCACAAAAAGGGTTCTTTATTGTTTTGATGTCAAGCTTGTAACAATAGAAACACTTCTTTTGGTGATGTATAAAACCAGTTTCCAAAAGGTTCTACGTAGAACCATATCCTACACACTGTAGCTTGTTTGACCATGCAGAGCACCATTTAAAGATGCAAGGGGTTCTTTGAGTGTTCATAGTTCTGTATAGAACCACTGTCTTTACTAAAGAACCATTGAAAAATCTTTAAGAGTATGATTTCAACAAAAAAAGGACTCCACAAGGCCAAATTGAACTCAGATTTATTCTGCTGAATGTTGCTTTTATAATCATAAAACAATATTAAACAACATTAAAACACAGCGTGGTAAAAACTAAACCTAAAATCCTCTGGTCTGAGAAAGATGACCTGCCATCTGCTTAAACCTACAGAGCCAGAGTGAGAAAGTGCTCATATAGAGAAGACTGGGGTATGAATTATCTCACAGACCACAGCAGAACACAATCATAAGAAAAATAAAGATACATAGTTATGATGATACATACAGATTATAGCTATAATCACACCGAGATATTATTACACACACATTAAAGGTATACAGCCCATTTTAGTTTAAGATGCAGTAAAAAAAAATACAATTTATTTTGCAGTACGGTATGAATTTCTCATGACATCAGTTACAAGATTTCTTGGAGTTGAATAATGTTGAACATTTTTATGATGCTAATATACTAATTAAAAATGTTATTTATGTGTAACATTTTGTCTAGTATGTTATAATGTGCTGATTGCTCAGAATTAGAGGGACTTGCTGATGTGCATCACACCTATGTGTATTCATCAATGCTATAAAATTTCACCACAATGCACCACGGCAATGACGTTCCCATGTGAAAAGACTGCTAAACACCTTGATGACCACTTTTAGAATTGATATATATGTTAAGAACAAAGCTAAAAAAATACACATTTGACTATTAGAACATTATAAAGAGTTTACTTAGTTTACAAGACAAATTCACATCCTATCAATATCAATCATTCAATAGCACGATTTCCACTAATGTAACTGGTTAACTGATCTGATCTCACAGACACACAAGATGTTGTTAGGACATTAAGAGTAGAGAAGAACTATACAAGTAAAATTTTGGATGACTGTACTGTGGACAGTGGGGTAACACCAGCTGTTCACCTCAGACTTCTTGAGCTGTGTGTGTGTTTGTGGTGTCTGAGCTCTGTATCTGAGTCAGCTCTATGTCTGTGTTGTGCTCTGCATGCGTTCCGTTCTCAAACCTGAGGTCTTTTCTGTACACCAACACACACAGCAAGGGTTCTGTGGTCACTCTCAAACTCATCAGACAGAAAAACATCACCCACAGAGCTCTGTATTGCCACAGTAAAATACATAAGATGATGGACATCACATGCAGGATCACTGTGAAACTGACAAACGCTAACACTGTACAACTCGGCCTCTTGGTTTTGTAAGGCATGTCGTTGATTTGAGGTGGAGCTCTACAAGTGACTATACATGATATCAGTGTTACTAAAAGAGTAACTAAAAGAAGAGGCAAACTCAAGATTGCTAAACCTACTGCACTGAACAGCTCACTAAGGAAGAAACAAATGAACGCAATGATGGAGATGATGATGGAGCAAGAAGGAAAGAAAACATGAGCAGAGCAGTGTGGATGTCTCAAAGAGAGAGCGCCCTCTAGAACCACCACCTGTTGCAGGAGAAACCCATAGATCATTGATCCTGACCATAAACTGGTTAATATCCTGCATGTCGTGCTCGTCTCCCAGCAGCTTTTATACTGCAACGACATTGTCACTATGTATGGATTCAGAAGCAGCACCAGCAGGTCGGAGAGAAGAAGCACGACGACCAAGGCTGAGATTCGGCCTCCACTCTTATGATGACCATACAGAACACGCAGAGCCCAAACTAGAGCTGGCAGGCCAACACACTTTCCAGCGATGAGGAAGGCGGACAGTCTGATCTTATCAGCCAAAAAATCTTCTTGAAAATCATCCCATGAATTTGAATGACGTGAGAATAACATATGAGCCATTGTGTTAAACGCTGAATTATTTGTTGTTTCCTGTAATGAAAATGACAGGTGAAGAATGACTTTTTTAGCGGTGGCCCATCTATCATGGTAAGAACTGTGTCAGCATTTGGCTACTTACTGAAATGATGACCTGACTGTAGAGACGAGAACGGCTACCACACTAAATACACACAACCAGCTGAGTTCACCAAAAAAAAGAGTCTGAAAACAGCAATAATGACAGTATGACAGCTACTGTATCAACATGTTTATGTAAAATTAAATGTGTGTGTGATTTGTGTTCTTACCTTTATTATTCAGCAATAAAATTATCTGAAAGCTCAGCAGAGAAAACCCTCACACCCTCTCTCTTTCACAGTGTCACTCAAATGACAAGAAAACCAGGAACTGAATCGACGCAGTAAAGCAGCTTATGATGAAAACTCTGTAAGACAAAATCTCTGTGTTGTGACTCGGTTCATGATTGTTGTCCATCTCTTTGTACCGTCTCATAAACAAGGATATATAAATTCAACTATGGTCACAGAAATGCTGATGCAGCCTAAAAGGTTGGGGGTGTTCAGATAACACATGGTTAAAAAGAAGTAGGATGCATTTGAACGCATTTATTTAACAAGTTAGCAAACATGAAAAACACAGAGACAAGGTAACACATAGAAACATGTATAATATTTCTATAACAAAATACAGAAAAAGCAAGAATAAAATTGTGTTAATTTGTGTTAACAGCCACCATAGTGTTTGAAACATTCTCATAGTGTCAAATATGATTCAGTCTTGGGGAAACACAGCATGTATGCAAACAGCAGAGACCATCTGACCACTTTTCCTCCCTATAGGTACTTTGAATTATGAACCAAGTGCATAAAGATAGAATTTGTTCAAGTTTATCATGTCAGTGTTTAAAAAGCCTGGGCCCCTAACCACATCCTCCTTTCTTCCTCCTGTTGAGGGAGTTTTTCCTTGCCACTGTCGCCAAGGCTTGCTCACTGGGGACGTGGACCCAGATTCTCTGTAAAGCTGCTTTGTGACAACATCTGTTGTAAAAGGCACTATATAAATAAATTTGACTTGACTTGACTACTCTCTCTTGAGTGGTTTGTTCATTAGCGTGGCAGCGTACACTAGGCTTACATTACATTGTGTCAAGTTGTATCGGATGCTGATATTGGTGCATTTTGAGTATGAGTGAATGAGCATGGTGTTAGGCTGATACCTGATACCAATATCAGTATCAACGCATATGATGCCTTGCTATAATGTATTTTCTGATTGTATTAGCTGTAAAAAGACAGCACTAGAGTAGCACAAACCAGCTTAGACCAGCTTAAGTCATGCTGGACTTTTTTTTTTTCAAGCAACGTCCAGATGAATGTTTCTGATCTGTTGGACATGTGTATAGAGGTATTTTTCATTATTGTGGTAATTCTTCAGTCATCAGCTGTAGAGGTCTTCCTCCTGTTTATTCTTGTTTCTCAGTCTTATGATGGTTTCACTTTCACTGGCACAACAGCAAAATCAGGCCCCAAAGGTGACGAAAGGCCTAGAATCAAGACTGGATGCTGAAAGCTCTCTTATACTTGCACTAATGACTCAATTAAACACACTTGAGTAACCACAAACACCTGTCCCAGGGCCTTAACATTAGAACGGGGGAGGAGGTTGTTGTCACATGATCTTATAGTCTAGGGCCACTCTAACCTTTGGGGGCCCTATGTAAAATTATTTGGGGGCCTCCCATCTTCCTAGCTGATGTACTATAAAATTAGAGACTAACTAATAACAATGAATGTGCTTACATGCACTCAATAATCTGATCATAATCAGATTTCTGCAGTTATCTGATTATTTAAATAGTCATGTAAAGGATTTCTTAGATCAGAGTAAGGTCTAGAAATCTGATAAAGAGAGCTGGATTTTAGCTCAGTAATCAGATTTCTCAGTGCATATAAACTCTTATTTTGATTTCTTTCAGAATTCTCAGACTGCGCAAGTGTGAAACAGATGGCAGTATGGAAAATAAACAAGCAGCGTCGCCACGAGACGGAGCAAAACACTTTTGGAGCGACAATGAAACCGACTACACGCTTGATGGAATCAAGAATTTTAATTTTCTTCATCCACTAGATGATATATGTTCATATTTTCAGGTAAAGTGGCGCAATGATTTTTTTTTTCTTTTTTTAAAAAGCCGCAGCATGAAGTTTGAGTTTTACATCATGTTTACGCCACGCCTTCTGTGAGTTTATTGGCTGGATGTAAAGCATAAATCTGTTTACTGAATGACTCATGTAGACCCGGAGTTTCCCCATTATCTGATCACTCAAGTGCATGTAAACATTGATCAGGTTACTGACAAAATCTGATTTTCTGCAGGTATCTGATTTTTACGTGTAACAAATTATTAATGTAAACACACTCACAAGCTTTCTCAATTAAATTCATAACTGACTAATTGTGTATCTCTGACAAAAGGATGCTTGTTTGAGGCATAAGTTAATAAGTAAGGTTAGCGTCTTCTCAGCCCCCCTTAAGAAATTCTCACTGCGAGTACCTCTCTTCTGCCCCATTTTCCCTTTAAAATGAGAGTGAATTGAGAGAGAAAAACACCCTTCTGTTGTCTTCTCTCTCCCAGGCACTCCTGTTACACTGTCTATGATGGAGGAGCATTCTGAACACAGGCTGCTCACACCATGCAGCTGAAAAATCCACCCTGATGACCTACAGGTGTGAGTAATGATAAGGTTTACAGGCTGATGTCACACCTGCAGAATCATTAGCCTTTGGTGCCACCTGCTGCCTGTGTGCAGTATCACATGCATTTTCTGTTTTAGTGGCTTTTGCTCAGAACTGTAGTGATTCTGTTGTGCAAGAACAGCTAATTGATCATCACTCAACCCCACGAGTCCACACTCCCCTACACACACACTCTGTATTACTGTACAATCCAAGTAATTTCAAACACATTCAATGATGCTGAGGTCTGGACTCAGTATATTGTTACTGAGTATATTGTTCTGAGAGCACCAGCATCTTCTTTGTTTGAAGTTTCTTTTTCCTTTTCTCAGTAACAGCTTCTTGACAGCTACACATCCTTTCAGATTCATAGTGCTGAGTTGTCTAGTTTTGGAAACTCTTGTTTTTTTTTCACTTTTGCACAGTACTAGGCCATGAACTAGTGTTTAATAACCAATTTTTTATGTATTTATTCTGTCAACAAAACCCTGATAAAAAATACTGATGTGGCACAGGAAGGCGAGGTCAGCGGAAGAAGAGAAGAAGCTGGGAAGTACCGGGCCCAGCGGCCAGGGTGAGAGTACACTCAACTGAAGATGGTGAAAAAGTGGCAAGCTGCCATGAAGCACAGGTGACTTCGGGCAGGATTTGTCTCAAAGAATTGCAACAGCACCCCTCCCCCACACACAGCTTAGCTGAAGAGAAAGCTGACTAGCTGTTGATAGAGCAGCTAGGTGTTGAACTCATGTCTTCCACGAATCCTCACTCAATGCCAGAGATGCTGCAGTGAGCAACACAATGCTACATGGCAGAGGAGGCGACGTGCCATGTGGCCCCTGAGCAAGTAGCCCTTAAGTGACTGGTGTGTTAGTGGTGCAGGAAGAAGGACCACTATGACAGTGTGGCCTTTGTCCCCTTTGGGGGAAAACGTGCAGTGCCAGTGGGTGAATCCCAAGGGCCGTGGGTGGTGCACATAAGTGGCACCCTCGTCAGCCTCAGCACTAGTCTGATGTCATGTTGGTTTTAAATGCCCTATTATGATTATAATTGTGTGGTTTTTTTTTGGATGTTTTATTCATTTTAGCAGGTGTAACGATTTATTTAGCTGGAACCGTAACACTGTACATACTACACATACAAGAAGGCAGCACATATATTGTAATTCTTAATTCATTAAATAATCTGAATAAAAGTGTACAGTATGTATCTTTAAGAGTACAGACCTCTAAGCTCTGCACTGCAGCACCACAGTCATAGTTAACCACAGTCTTACCACCAATGATAGGCAGCTGTCTAGAAAAGTGATACGAGACAGATGTCCAAAGCATGCAATGCCTCTAAAAGGAACATCACAGAAAGTCTTTATGTAGAATGGTTATGAATACGCTGCCTGGTGCCTGAGACATCATTTTATAATAGTGTGGAGGGAAGGATTTGGCCTAAAATGTATTTTTGCAATCTATTCAGGTCAGAGAAGTAAATGTAGGGTGTTGTGAGGCAAAATAGTTTCCCAAAGAAAACATTTTTCAGGTGCTAGCACTATTTTACCGTCATCAACATTACATATAAAACCTCAGAAGACTCGTGTAGGTGCAGTGGTGGTTTCGGATGGTAAAATGGCTACATTTGTGTTGTGGTCATGCTGACTCCTGGTTCACCACCACTATAAAGAAATAAGTCTGTAACTTTCTCTATAATGAACCATTTCATATTAAACCACTCTGAATGACTTTATTTACATCTCAATGACTTAATTATGAAGAATTTTGAAAAACTGGTGTAATTCCAATAATAATAATAAAAAAAAAAAACAGTTTTACTAGAATTTGTCCCAGCACAGTTACTAGGGTCACTTGTTTAAAATGTGTACTGGACCTTTAAGAGCTCTAGGGTGTTCTAGCACACTTGACCACACTGTGGTTTCACCACAGATAAAGATCTGTAGAAGAATAAAGAAGCAATTAGAAGAAACTTCTCCAAAAGCAGAGTAACACATATCAGTGTGCAAACAAGAACATTCCTCCCTCACAATCATAAACACAAGTTACATTAACAAATAAGAGTAATAGAAGTACTGTATGGAATTTTTTAATAGCAGCTAAAACTGGTATTACGGTGACTTAATTCACAACTTAATTCAACACTTTCATTAACACTAATTCACTACTGCTACTTCACTGATATGTTCTGGATGTGATACTGGTACTTTAAGAATGTATTAATCATCATCACCATCATAAAAAAGACCACTTACAATAATGTGTTACCAGTATTAATTACATAAAAAAGACATTTAAAAATACAGTGAAAAATAAAGTGAAGTTGAAAGATTTTGATTCACCATGAGTTTCATTTTTATATACTATATTAAAAAAAAATCAAAAAGTGCTTCCTGACCTTTTCACATCACTGCTGAAATACAAAAGTTTAATCTAGAGGTAAGATCTTATTTTAGCCACGCCCCTGAATTTTAGAGCAAGAAGTGAGACTGCATCCCTGTCCCTCAAGGCCACATGGACAGGGGTTAGATCCCATTTTTGAAATAAATGTATACCAAAATCGGAAAATCAGTGTGGAACATTTAGAAATGCAATAACTGAAAGACATTTAATGCAATT